TGGAGAGTTAATGAGAGGAATGGAGAGCGAGGGAGAGGAATGGAGAGCGAGGGAGAGGAATGGAGAGCGAGGGAGAGGAATGGAGAGTTAATGAGAGGAATGGAGAGCGAGGGAGAGGAATGGAGAGCGAGGGAGCGGAATGGAGAGTGAGTGAGAGGAATGGAGAGCGAGGGAGAGGAATGGAGAGTTAATGAGAGGAATGGAGAGCGAGGGAGAGGAATGGAGAGTTAATGAGAGGAATGGAGAGCGAGGGAGAGGAATGGAAAGCGAGGGAGAGGAATGGAGAGTGAGGAGTGGCAATGGGAAAAGAAAGAGAGGAAGAGGAGGGGAAATGGGACAAAGGAGGAATGAGAGGGAGAGAGAGGAGAGGAAGGACAGAGAAGGCCAAAGGAGGAGGGGATAATGAAGTCGAAAGAAGAGAGAGCGAGTAACAGCAAGAAGGGAAGGGATGGGGAGCAATTGTGAGGCTAAAGGAAGAGTGGATGGGAAGGGGAGGAAGCAAAATGGATAGGAAGAAAAGGGAGGAAGAGGCAACCAGAAAAGAGAATGGAGAAAAGCGATTAAAGGTAAAGCAAGAAGATGAAAGGATGAGCAAGAAATAAGGATAAGGAAAAATTGGGAAGGATGAAGGAAGAATGAGGGAGTGTGGAGGGAGGGGAAAAGCGTAGGAGGTATAGGAAAAAATGAAAAAATGAGAGCAAATTCAAGGGAGAAAAGAAGATACAAGAAGTAAAAAAAGTTTTTAGCTTTGATAGGTTTGTGGAAGGGAAGAAGCTCTAGGTGCAAAGTACATGTTATAATCGTTATGATTTCTGGCATATAGTTACGAGTGGCCATGGATCCCCGCCTTGAATAGTCATAATAGTCATGATTCGTGAGTAAGGGCTGGGTTATAGTCCAAAGGAATCATAAGAGCCAGTACAGCTACAGGAATTGCCAAAACTCCAGTTCCAGATTTCTTTTAAGGGCTTACTGCTTTTGGTATATAGGTAGTACACTCGACTAATAAAGACCAACACAGAGCATCACAGTAACTATGTGGTGACCTTCAGTGTCCATGAACCCTACGCTGATGATTTTTCTTTGCTGTCATTCAGTAAATCTAAAGTAAAACTGACTTTATCTGGGCGCTGATACACATTTTCAATCAACATACACTAAATCAATAACTGAAACAAGCATGATCATAGGGACAGAGACAAAGGGACAGAGGGTCACTGTTCAAGCACTATGATGCCTTGGTGTTAGTTCCTGGTAGTTTAGTGTACTAGTAAAATACCAGAGTTGGAGTTCCTTCGGCAATTTATCTTGAACTTCAAATTATGGAAACAGGGACTGATGGATCTAAACTGTTTGAGATCTTGCCCTACCCTTAATTTAAACTACATCAGGGATCAGAAAAGGGGAGGCTCGTGTATGAGCAACAGCTTGTTTTGCATACCACCTTTGCCCAGACCTGTGCCCTGGAGAAAACTCTACAGCAAAATGTAAAAGTGACACTGCAAGAGAAGTGTGTGTGTGTTTGTGTGCACATTTATTATAAAGCATACATATGATGTATGATATATATTCGTACTCACTCCATACATTTAACAGCACATTGTGGACACTCTAGAATATGGAATGCACGGGTATATATCAATTACATACTTACGAATTATGTTATAAATATATATAATTGCATTACATTTAGGCCTAATGTATGTTCAAATTATACTCCCATCTATACGTACTTTATTCCTTTCTGTATAATTAGTGATCTCGTATCACGAATAATTATGTAATTTACTGAGAATTTGTTTCAAACTTTTGAATATGTATTCCTCCAGTGGATTTGTATTTGTGGTGTTTTGTAGTATCTGTCAGCGTCTCACGCAATGCATTGTGGGTCTCTGTTTAGAATGGAGCGAGCTGCGCCTCGTGCATTGTTTTACTTGGAAGATATTTTATTACGAAAATATGGTATGTACCGTGAGGTTTTATAACATCACTATTTTATGCAGTACTGAAGTTGATAATTTCTATCATGAGACTAGAATTCTCCTGGTTCAAGACATCAGGACTTTGGGACTTGCTAAGAACCTGCTCGGATGGTACGTGCTTGTGGTGAGAACAATGAAGTCACAGAGAACTTTACATACCTTGGTAGTGTAGTTCATAACTCTGGGCTGTCAGACCAGGAAGTCAGCAGATGAATTGGCCTGGCAGCAGGGGTCATGAACTCTCTCGACAAGAGTATTTGGAAATGCCGGTACCTGTGCAGAAGGACCAAGCTACGTGTCTTCAAGAGCCCTGATAATGCCAGTTTTGCTATACGGTAGCGAAACCTGGACATTATCCTGCACCTTGGAGTCACGTCTTGATGCCTTTTGTAATAGGTCCTTGCGCCGGATCATGGGGTACTGTTGGCGGGACCATGTGTCAAACCAACGGTTGCACCGCGAGACTGGCACAGGACCTATTATTTGCACAATCCGTGATCGCCAACTCATGGTTTGCTTCCCTCAGGATGATCCTGCCCACCAGGTTGTCTCTGTTCGAGACAGCCCTGGGTGGAGGAGGCCTGTGGAGACGACCCAGGAAGTCGTGGCTTGGGCAGATCGACCAAACCTGTCGTGAGGAGCTTGAGATGAGCCGAGTTCCTGCCTGGCGACTTGCCATGAGGGACCCTCGCAGGTACAAGCAAAGGGTGGATGCGGCTATGCGCCCTCGTCGGCGTTAGCTCCATGATGATGATGCTATATATATATATATATATATATATATATATATATATATATATATATATATATATATATATATCACATATTTCTCTGTCTACCTGTCTTTCTCTATATGTATATCTATAGAGTTATCTGTCAATCTATATGTCCTTATGTCCGCATTCACCAGTTGATCAAAATAGTAATGATAACAATTATTATTTTCGATATTCTCATTATTATTATTATTATTATTGTCATCGTTATTATCATTGTTATTATGATAATATTGTCAATGGGGGTAATAATGGGATTGGAAATGATAATGATGATGACAATAATGTTAATTATATGAAGAATAACAATGATAATGAAGTATGAAGTATTTAAATGCGATAATAAATTGTGACGCGTGAAAAAAGTGGCAGTAATTACCCTATGCAGTTATAAGATCTTCAGTACAAAACATGCACACAAACCTGTATTTACAAGTGTATATGTCTATGTGTGTGTACACACATATATATCATATTTATATATTTGTCTGTGTTTGTGCATATGTATGTATGTATGTATTGCATGCACGTAATCATATATGTACACACACGTACACACACACACACACACACACACACACACACACACACACACACACACATATATATATATATATACATATATACATATATATATGTGTGTGTGTGTGTGTGTACACATATACTCATTTATTTATATATACATATATGTATATGATTAATTATATACATGCACACGCGCGCGCGCGCGCGCGCGCGCAAATACTCATCTCTCTCTCTCTCACACACACACAAGTGAATGTGGTATAAGTAGGAATATACGAGGATAGCTTAAGCACCTGTCGTGTCTGTCAGTCAGAACACTAGTGCGTATCACCCATTAACAGCAGGTGCAATAGTGGCTGTCAGTCAAACATTTACGTACAGGAGAGAAAGATAGAACTGATACACTGAGAGAGAGAGAGAGTGATAGTCTATTAATAATTAAAGTGATCAATTCTAACTTTGTAACGACTTTTTGCATTTTTGTTTTTACGACCAATGTCGTAATTTCGTCAGACTATACCTGTAAGAACTCTCTAGAAAATCTCTTATTCATAGCTTATGGACCTTTCCTTTTACACTATCCCCTTCTATACATCATATTTTCACACATTTCGTCTTTATCACCATCAACGGAGCATCATTAACACACGTTAACACACCCATTTTTAACTTGATGTGTCGTAAAAACGTTTCTTTAAGAGTCAAATTTAGCGTTTTTATGGAGGGATAATTTCGACGCTATATCATGTACTCTTGTTCTTTAGCGCACACTTTTGGGAATATATTTTTTCTCACTATGATGGATCCCTTGGTGGTAGCGGTGGTGTGTGTGGGGGGGGGGGGGGGGGATCGGCGAATTCTGGCAGGTGGATATACGTTAAGTAATTGAGGATGATGGTGGTGGTGTGTAAAAGACAATTGTGAAGTTCAAAATTGGACATAATGGTCCGGTGATGATAGTCGTGGTGATGGTGATGATGGTGGTGGCGTTGGTAAATGTAGTGATGGTGCTGGTGTATTGTGAAGGACCATTAAGTCCAGTTCTGAACTTCTCCATTGCCGAGACAGTGGTATAGTTATTTTTTTCCTTTTTATGTTCCTTTCACTTTTCACACAAACTCGAATCTCTTGCGTTTATGTCCTCTTGAAAAAAAAAATTCAGGATATGATGGATGAATGTAATGTCACGCAGATAAAACTAGAGAAATATGTGATCAAATGAACCACACGAAATAAGCACAAAGGATTCGACATGTAAGCAGAAACGTCTGTGCTTTGTTTTTCCGTTATTTTACAAACAGCCCTAAAGTACCCAGTGTCCAGTCCACAGTCCAGTCCAGGCAGGCACTAGCGATTTCCCCGCTAGATGTATAAGATTTGAGTTATGATCTAGCGGAAAAAAAATAAAATTGAAAGTCTAAATTTAGCGATTTTTTAGTCCATTTTTAAGCTTGAAAACGAAGTTATTTCTTTTGTTTCTGTCGGTTTTTAAAGACAAATCTAGTGGTTTTGCGAACATATCAATGGTAGTACTGATGACTAAACAGTAAAATTACTCTCGGCATGTTTGTCCTTTTAATTGTGTGATTGTCTCCTGCCAGAGAAAAATTTACATATATGAAAAATTATCATACAAAATAGATTGATAGACACATAAGGTCTTAAACGTATGGCATGCTATTAATATTTACTGCATCAGTGACAATAACACCCTTGAGAAAATCAACAGCTTTATTTATTGAGAAATATAACAGTTATTCCATCTCAAAATAGTCCGTGCTGTGTTGCTTATCATCACAAACGTTTTCGTCGACATTACTTTGTTATCGATATCGTTTTATACCGATTTTAATTATTTAATTCGGTTTAATTATTACTAAAAATATATATCCCCTTTATGAGAAGTAGAATTAACAATGGCATAACAAAAGGTCCTTACGGGCTCAAATTTCACAATGCAGAATTCTATCACATCAACACTACAGCACCGATTTCTATAACCCGTCACTGGTCAGGTCTCGAAGAATCAGAAATTAGGAGATTCATTCTCTTGACCTTATGGCAATCTTTAAAATTGATAAAAATATCACCAGCGATAAAACAAAAACAAAAACAAAGGGCAACTATGATAAAACGTAATTATTGATGTTCGCATTTTCATTATTCACTAATAACGTATTATGCATAATATTCAGCATTTTCATTTCATAATTCTACATTCCGTTCACTTCACTGACCTCCTGATAGACTGCCATCACTTCGTCCGCCAAGAGGATAGCTGTCTCGTCTGCAATGTGATCCGTTGCGTAACTTATAGAGTAATTGCAACGACCCCTAAACGTGTGAACGAGAAAGAGGAGCATGTGGATGTATTTATGCACCATGGCGACAGATGCAGCGTCCGTCACCAGGACCTGGTCGTCTACACGTCGTTCAGGCATCGGGAAGTGACCAATGTTGGTGATCCCGTAGTCATGGACGACCGCGGGGGGGTTCTGGGCCCATTCCTTCCAGTGGTTCGGCTGGGCCATGAGGCGAGCCATCTTCTGCTCGAGAGGGAGTTCTGAAGTCAGGCCCTCTCGCAGCTCTCCGTTGATCTCTGTGGCATATTCCCAGAAATTCTTCGCGTGATTGTCAGTCACTTTCGAGATGTGGGAGCGAAGCACGGCGTAGCCTCCCACCACATCACGGGGCGTCCGTTTCAGGTACCGTAACATGCTTACAGCATGATTACTAGCAATCTGGTATGACTGTTGGGATATACCAGACTTCTGCACCAGTCTGATTAAGGCAATGTTGATCACGGCACTGAAAGCACTGTTGATGGTGACTCCGTGTGATTTGCACTGCTTTTCGAATTTCCGTGTAACCTCGACGTCAACGATGCGTGAAAGATGTCTGGTTGCGGCTCGATCCACTGAGGGCCGTGGAAACGCTTGCAGTAATAAAGGAGTGGACGTCGGCATAGTCTGTTTGACGTAATCGTGACGCTCAGGGTCCTCTTCCAATTTCTTTATTATCCTTGATTCGATTTCCCCGAGTTCCTCCCTCTGAACGAACCGACTGGACACCTCATCACTAACGTGGCATCCGAGGATCACATCATTCAACAGCTCCACCATCTGTTTCGCCACCAACGAGGCACTCAGACCGTCACCTAACGCGTGGTGGCCGGTCACCATAATACTGTACTGATAAGGAAAGTCACCCTTGACCTCTGGGATGGCGCACGGAGCGTCCTTCCCCAGAGGGATCATTCTGAACTTCCAAGTGGCCCCGTCAGGAAACCCTCCTTCACACATTCGTTGGATCTCCTCCTCCGAGCTGGTTCCTTCGCTAAGCATCTGGAATTCACATACGTAATCTTTGGTGAAGCTTCACTAATACAGATCATATGCAAGTTTGTACCTAATAATCACTTGTATCAATCCCATTAAAATAACGAAAACAATTATAGGATATCCTGAGATGGAAAGTACTTTTGCATAAAGTATAATGCATCACCTATTCTTCCGTACCTTTGTTTTAGGTATCCATAAGTATAAGTATGATTACTGAATGGAAGAGTGTGGGGAAGGAGGGATGTGGAGTAATCAGTGCTGCTCACCCTACCTTAAAATCTACTTTAATCCCTTCTTGTTCACAAAACCACCAGACATTTTCACGAAGTCGGAGATCTACCCTCAGGGCAGGATTCTTCCTGAGGAAAATCAACAGTCCCATCACTAGAATTAAATAATGGTTAAAACAGATAACTGTTAGGCATCATGGGCAAATAACATGATTTAAATAACAGTCCAGTTGAATAAATGTACAATTACCTTCCAAAACAAGGATCCAAACCTCTGCCACTCTAGGTATGACCTAAACTGACCAGTACTGAACAACTTTACCGAACCCAACAAGGGGTGTCTACCCAACATTGCACTGATTCTTTAAGAACTGCCAATTTACATAAACTGGAGTGATTATCATGTATATTTGTAAACTCTCCTCATTAGCATTTACTGGAATCGTTTCGAAACCATAGTATCTTATTCACTGGAGTTCTATAATAACATAATGCAGATATTTTTACAGCTATACTCTCCTTCACAAGGAGTATAATCTACTCGGCTAAACAACCTAACACGACTATCTAACTGGGAATTCCACATTTACTTATAGTAGAATAATAATGACAAAGTTGTATGAACAATTCTCGTAAATATCAATCCAACTTTACTCTTGTGTGTAGTAAAAAAAACATTTACACAAATAACACTAACATATCTGATGAATATCCAAAGTGACACAGCGTTCAATATCTCTCAAAAGCTTTTGAAAACAAAGATCGAATTCAAATACTCACGATGATCACAATTTACAAGGAAGACAGATAAAAACGAAGATCGCATTCCCACTTTCATGTCAAGCACCACTTAAGAGAAGGGACTCACCTCTGCAAGTGGAAAAGAGCCCTTTCGACGTCCTCTGTCTTGAGGGGGCTCGCGCTATTGAGTCTCATGTGGTATAACCCCATTCTGGTGCCGTGATTGTGGACGAGGTGGAAACTGAGCGATTCCCTGTCGACCGGCCAGAGCCACTTCACGTTCCCGCTGCTCTGGGCTCTGTTGGGGAACGTACAGTCTATTGGAGATAATGGAGTCTTCAAACTATAATACCATAATGGGAAAGCCATATACGTATCTACTGTATATCCTTTTAAACCAAATCTTCTTAAAAGTACTCGATATTAAACTTCAGGGGACCTTCCATGGGGATTCAACTAACGGAGAGAGGATGAAAAGAGGACAAAGGGGGCAGACGAAGAGCCATTCTTACTAATGTGTTCATTATCACTGTAACTGATACAAATGTATGTACCACTAATGGCTAAATAAATTATTTGAATCTGAGGCCTGGGATTCGAAAAAAGGCAGGAATTAATAGGGTCAAAAGGGTGACAGTAAACAGCTGATACGAAGCAAAACATGAGGAATGTGCCGTGGGTGTAGACTCGTGGAGGCCCACACCTATCCCTGTTGTGTTTATAATTCCAATATCACGAGGTGGGAAGGAGTGCGTGGCTACCCTACTGTATACTGCTCACTCTCTTAAAATAGATTTTATAGTGATATTCATACAGTTCGTTTGTTTACACATACAGCATTAAGTACTGTTTATTATTTGTATTTACATATATACATGTGTATATGTAAATACACATGTACAAAAATATTATATGTATATATGTATGTATGTGTATATATATATATATATATATATATATATATATATATATATATATATATATATGTGTGTGTGTGTGTGTGTGTGTGTGTGTGTGTGTGTGTGTGTGTGTGTGTGTGTGTGTGTGTATTCATATACATTTATATATGTATATGTGCGCGCGCGCGTATGTGTGTGTTTGTGTGTGCACAAATGTGTATAATACACACACACACACACACACACACACACACACACACACACACACACACACACACACACACACACACACACACACACACACACACGTATATGGTATACTCGCTCGCTTCTCTCCCAAGACGCCCCTGTCCCCGAGGTCGAGGCGGAGCGCAGACGCCCGCAGGAGAGGCGCCCGCAGCCGAGGCACCGCCCGCAGCCACAGACCCATTGCTGACGGTGATGCCTTCGGAGGATTCACGGGCGGGAGGCGGTGTCTCCTGGGAATAAATGAGGCGGTGTTGCTACGGCCTATTGTGGTTCGAATGGTATGGAGGCTGTTGTGAGTAGTTCAGTGTGTGATGATGATGGTGATGATAATGGTGGTGTTGGTGGTAGTGATGATGATGGGGATGGGGATGATGATGATGATGATGATGGTGATGATGTAAGTGATGATTTCACTCGCAGGGAAGTGGTGTCTCCTGGGAATGAGTTTGTTTTCTTACAGTTAAAGTCAAAATTAAATAGATTTAAAGAAAAAGTTGTTATTTTCCTATACTCAAATACTGTGGAATATGTGGAATGTGTTCTATTTCATTGATAAAAATTGAAATGGCGATAATGATAGTGATGAGGGTTATGGCGAAGATACGGGTAAGGATCAAGGTACTGATGATAATGAAAAGGACAAGGATGATGGTGATGATAAAGTTCATGATGACGTTGATAGTGATGGTGTTGATGTTAATACTGATGCTGATGGTGATCTTCATTGATAAAGAAAATAATGACAGCAAGGAAGATGGCGATGGTGGCAATGATAATAATAAAGATAAAAAAACAATGATAACGTTACTGATGATAATACCCAAACTATCAAGTCCATAACACAGAAAACATACTTACATACATGCAAAACACAACATACGGTAAATTTGGAAAAAAATAAAAATAAATAAATAAATAAAATATGTCACCAACACTTCTCGGGACGAAACTGGATTCGTTCGATTTCATATGTTTTGGTTCGGTTGATTCTGGTGTTCGTTTCCATCGAAAACGACTAGAGTATATTTTTCATACCAGAGTGGGCGATTAGGTATATTAATGATTCTCAAGTGGAATTTCTCGCAGTGGGAGTCAAGCCAAAGGCCTGTATTTTTTTACTCAGCTTGAAGGAATTAAGTATATCTACTTTTATTAATACCTCTATGCACTCCATGAATGAATGGAAGGTATTTTATTTAATTTGTAGGATACAAGGACAACAAGACTATGTGAAGTCAAAAACGCTTGAAAAGCCAT